GAACAAGGAAAACAGGTTAGTTGGTTAAGTGGTGTGTGTTTCCTGCATTTGCAAAGGTGCCTATAGCGAGAAGGGTGGCTGTAATTCGGCCATTAGTTACAGATGGTGGCTGGAGACTCGAGATTCATGCAGCGAGATGAGAGCTCTTGCATCTCTTTCCAGTGATGCCGACTTTAAACTGCTATGAAAACCTGAATCAAGACGGCATAAAAAATAGTGGATTTGATACTTAGCAATGCTGCCAGCTGGTTCCTTTATGTATTTTGATGCAGAAATGCCTAGAAATGTGAACAAAAAGGAGTTAATTTGCCAAATGATGTTTCTGTCCCCCAATCCTTGCAAAAATGGCATTAATGGCAAGTAGGTAAAGAACATTCAGGAGGATTTTAAAGCAAATTAGATTTTTCGAAACTTTGCTCTTTGAAGCAATTTGTGTACAACTTCTGGTGAAGGTTATGTCTCTCGGGCAGCAGAGGAGAGCATTAAACAGATCACCCCAGGGATTGGCAGTGGCATCAGAAATATTTCTGAACAGTGTAACTTTTAATGTTTTTCCATTCCTTAACTCTGAAGGCTTTCGCTCCAGTTGTATGAATAGCAAACTCAAATATGAAGATATGAATTTTTCAGCAGAAACCTAGTTATAGTTACTTCATGAGACAAATCCCAGTATTATAAATGCAGAAACTTAATTGGTGGAAACAGTATCGTGCATGCAGTTAACCTCTGCAAATTAAGACGTGAAAAATACCTTTTTCAGACTAATTCATTTTTGTCCTTCACTCTGCTTACAGGTACTGTTTGATGAGCGTGAAAGGATGCTTCACTGATTTTCATATTGATTTTGGTGGCACTTCAGTGTGGTATCACGTTTTCCGTGGGGGGAAGGTAGGTGAACCTTGTTTGATACTTGTTTTTATTCCTCTATGTCTCTTATGGAGGGGAGGGGTTGCTTTCTTTTATTTTTCCTTTTTTCCTCTTTTTTTTGGGGGGGGGAAGGGGGCTAGTCAGTGATCAGTCTATTTCACCTAGCTTGTCCATGCACTTGAAGTTTGCTGAACTAGAAGGACACCATTCACCTTTACGAAACAAATGAGTGATTTATTTTGAAATATCAAACGTGTTACTTGCTGGTGGTGGTGCTTTTAGGTTTGCTATTGCTGAATGGTTTAGAAGTGTCTTGCAGCGAGTATGTGGCTGTGTATACCCTTGTTGGGTCAGAGTGCCCTCACAAGTCTCCTATAGCTAGAGCTTCTGTTTCCTTTTAGAGATTCCATGTTCCTTTAGTGTGCACATGCACACCATGCCGGAACTGAAATATTACAGAAGCATTAAAATATGCAGCATGTATGGCTACATTCACATCTATACTGTTTTGGGTCGCTTTTCCCAATTCTAGTGTAGACAGCGTGTGGTGGGAACTGAAATAAATACAGCAGATTGAACATCTCTGTGGTACAGATACTGTTCATCTGTATAGTCCAATGAAGTTGTACTATACCAACGCACTGTTTTGAACTGAAAGTAAACTGTGCAGGCATCTTCTGAATAAGATGTTTCATGGAAGAGAGACGACAACTGACAGTTATCTTGCCAATTCCAGCACATGGACTAATTGCTGCTGCTGTCTGCTGTGTGCCTCTGTGTACAACACCTGGAAAACATGTGTTTTATGCAGAAAGCAGGCTTGGTGTTATGTGTTTGTTTGTCTAACGCATGATAACCTTGTTGGCATCTCTCAGTGATTTATTTTTGTTGACTGTTGGTAATAGTTAAATGTTTTTTTTTATTTTTAGATCTTCTGGCTGATTCCGCCTACTCTGCAGAATCTAGAACTTTATGAAGAATGGGTTCTCTCAGGAAAGCAAAGTGATATCTTTCTGGGAGACAGGGTGGAACGATGCCAAAGAATTGAGCTGAAACAGGGCTATACGTTCTTCATTCCTTCAGGTATCCCTTGTTAACTAACTGGTTTTGGAATTGCTGGAATTGTGTTTGACTAACAGTTCTCTGTAAAACAATTCTTCATATGTAAACCCCATATTGACCTCTTTATTTGCTGTGGCAAAAGAAAGGCTAGAGACTGAATGCACTTAAATTTTCCAGAAATTGACCCATCCAGACTGATGAAAAATGTACCGTGAGGAAGCGTATGCAGTAATCACTTGTGCTGTACCAGGGAAAAGGAGAGAGGACTTGGGTGTCTGGAGCTGTCAGTCCACCACTTCTCATCAGAGTCATACTTTTACTATTGTTAGCTTTCTTGGAGAAATATTTTTCTGTTTTTGTGATATCTTCCAGCAGGTTTCACCTGCAGTTCAGTAACCTACTTCTCTGCCTCTGTCTCTGGCCAGAGGTTGGTCTCAATTCCCTGATGGAGCTCAGTGGAGATTCCAGTACATGGAAGTGCAGGTGCTGTGCTCTCTCAGGGTTGCTTCTTGGGAAAACAACTTTATTTTATTGTCATAACTCTTCAGAATTTCTGCTGATGGAGATTGTGCTGAATCTGGACATCTTCCAGTAGCCTAGACACACTTAATTTTTACAGTACTGCCCACCTCAGTAGCTGTGTTGCATGATTCAGGCTCTTCTTGCAAAGCAACCAAATAGTCGCTGCCTTGAAGGCTGGTGGCTTCAGCCCTTTCTGCTCCTGCCTAAATTGGTTTAAAGATGATGCAATCTGTAACACTCCTCATTTAAGATGATATTGGGCTTTGCTTTCTTTGACTATTATGGGACCATACATTTGTTTATAATGATATAACATATTGCCTCTGTCTGGTGGATCTTACCAGGGAAATAAATATAGGTAGTTTTTCTACATGACAGAAAGACAGGTTAGTAGTTTTTCAGCTCTAGAATTACTCTGCGGAGATAGGATAATTATTTTTTAATCCTGGAGACTGAGAGAATGCAGGTCGTGCGAAGACAGTGACAATGTTCTTGCCAACTAGGCAGCGTTGTTAGTGTCAGTTGAAGGCCACAGATTTGCATGTTTGTAAGTATTTGGTAAGAATCAGCCTGGGAGGTGACAGGCAAAATGACTTTGAGGGTGGAGGAGTTAATCCATTAAACGAATTAGGTCTTCCCTTGAAACAGGTCAGAATGTGCTGTTACTGTTTGAACTGGGTGTTTGAGTGTGCCTGTGCTGTTTGCTTAGATCCTGTTACTGCATCTTCGTATTTATCTTCATTCCCCTGTGAACAGCCTCCTACGAATAAGACTTTCTGTATGTTAGTTTAGTCATGCTCAGCAGTTGGAATACAGCAAGTTGTGGGAGCTTGTGCAGGACACAACTGTAACATGGTGGCTGAAGTGAAGTGATTCCAAATGTGTTTTTTGACTATAGTTTCTGTTTTCATAGGAAAGCCCAAAGTACAGAAATGCCAATACCTCAGACATTTTAGGCTCCATGCCATATGTGAGAGGCAGATATGAATAATTTCTCTGTAAGCACCTCATGGATTCAGGTTTTTTTGCTGTATTTTGTTTGGAAAACTTATTTGCAAATCTCTTATTTATGTGAAAGGGAATTATTTCTACATTTGTTTTAAGAGTATGGAAATGCCTAATTAAAGGCTATTCCAGGTCAGTGAATTGAGCATAGCTGTGTAAAACAGGTCAATTCCTATGACCTCTTTGCTCTGGTTTGTGTGTGTATCACATTAGTTAATGTTTGCATGTCTTTTGTACATACTTTATAAGTGTTCATAGGTTTTGATAACCGGTGCCTGTAAAACCAGTGTGTCCCATACTTTCAGTTGAGCCTGTTAAACTCTTGACCAGCCTCAACTCATCCATGAGGAAAATACCTTCTAATTAGAGTTCTGGTCACAGAAAGTGATACAAGAGTGATACAGCTAGTGCTCAGCTGGACTGTGAATGGAGAACATTTCAGCAAAGGATCTTTTTCATAAAATATCCTGCTCTGCTCCTGTTTTCAGGTAGTTTTTGGGGGTGGTCCTAGAAATGCTATTACACCATAGCAGTGTAAGGATGAAGTAGATAGAGAGAACTGTAGCAAGACACATGAGGGAGTGAGATCATAGGCTTGTGGGAGATGGAAGGTTTCTCTGAGAATCTAGGATCAGCATTAGATCCAGTAAATCCCTGAAACTACAAACCATTTGGACAAGAATGGGAATTATTCTTACAGAAGGCATAATTACAGTGCTCACCAGGGCCTCAGGGTATTTTCCTCTCCATCACTGCCATCATCCTTTCAGGATTAAGTTTAAACCAGTTAATTTCTACCTGTGCTTCTAACTCTGCAAAGCACTGAGAGGCATGATCACAGCTGTGGTATCAAGGAGAAATTGAGCTAAGTATTGTCAGCATAGTGAGTTGTTATGGGACAAGGTGCATCTTGCAGCATTTTACGAGTCCCTCCTAAGTATGGGGTGGGGGGAAGTAAGCTGGGATTCTGAAGGATACTGTGTCTGGGGCCTTGTGTAGGAGCCGAGCTGTATTTCTGATGGCCCCATAGGACTTCTCCGAACAAGCAATGCACCGTTACAAGTTCTCACCTCCCACTTCACCGGTTCCCACTGATGAGTCAAGGATGATCAACTCTGGTATAGTCTGCGGTAAAGTGATAAAATCAACTAGGAACCTGGCCTTTTCAATTAATATAATTGTCTAAACTGATGTCAGCATAATTGTTGATTGAGAAATATACCATATTGTGCCATGCTGAGGTTTATGGCCAGATGTAGATTCAAGATGTTAAAATAGCTGAAGGTTCAAAAGGGGAGGAAGCTATAGTTGCTACCAGTGTCAGTGAATGATTATTTTTTTCTGTAGAAATCTGACTGCTGTTTTCCCAGGATGGGAGAGAACTTGCCTTTATGCAGGAAGACATTACTAAAGAATGCTACGGCCGTAGGGTGTTTGCACTGTGTATGTTACCATGAGCAATGTTTAATCATTCGTATGGTTAAGTGTTCAACAGAGATGAAATTTGGTCAAGGTAATACATCTTACTCTGGTACAGTGGACAGTGGATGCTGCATATCTGACCTACATGCCAAATAGAAGGGAAAGTCTTTATAGAGTGAGCTTCTCTTTTCAGGTATAAACTGTGATGATCTGGAAGAGGAAAAGCATAATCTCAGTGCGCAGTTATTGTCTCAGTAGGGAAACAACAAATTTTATCAGTCACAATCAAATCTAGAGCTTGTTTAGTATTATTTCCACTGTAGCTTTCTTCTGTACTCTGTGTCCAGTGACAACTGGCATGGAGGATGTGTGAAGTGTTTGGAGTCCATTGTGGTGGTGTTACAGAGAAGTAGTTTAGATACCTCTCGTCACTGTGCTAGGGACACACAGAACCAGTGTTTGGGCAGCATCCCTCAGATTTCTATAGCTCAGGATTACTTTAGGCACATGTTTCTGGCTTGCATGCAGCCACTTGTTCTGTTACATCCTGACTGCTCCCCTACAGCCTGTTTGAAATACTGCTTACTAAGTTAATGCCAATGTATTACTCGTTTTTTTTAATATCTTCAGTGTTTCTCTTTTTACTTTAATTATTTTTCTCCTTTTACATCACTGCATAACTTCACTGGAACCTTTTCTCCCACCTCCTCTTGCCCTTCACCTGCCACTCCAGTCTTTATGCTCTGTAAACCATCTTTTAGTTCTATCCTTGCACTTGTTTTTTCAAGCGGTGCATTATGCATCCAATTCCCTTCTGTCTTGATTCTCTGAACATCACATTAGTTTCCCTTGTGTACTCCTAAACGTCACTGTTGTTACCTAAACCCAAGCTCAAAATTAAGCATACACAAAATGAAAAATTAATCCTTTGTCAATCCAGTTGCTCTTTTGGGTCTTTTACTTTTGCTGAATATGTCATTTTGATGGTAAGTGATGGAGCTCTGACATGGATATTTTCCTTCTCCTCCTTCCCTGTTGTCCTCTACAAACAAGATATTGCAGTAGTCTGACGTATGTTAAGCTTGTTTGCTTTTTTCCTCAATTTCCTACCAGACCTCTCTTTCAAAAAAATGACCTTTTCTTTCATGCATGTGTATTTATGCTTGGTGTAGACACTTGCACTTCAAATTCAAGAGAGTTTATGCATGCAAAATTGGGACATACAGAAGCAGGCCAACTGGTAGTCTCTTGTGGAAAATTTGTCTTGCAGTATTTGTCTCTGTTAATATTGTGAAGTAAGAGTATAATCATTATGTAGTAATCATTGCCTTGAAAAGGCAAACTTGAGCCAGTTCTGGATTGTTACTGATAATGTAGTCTGCCAGAATACAGATAAACTTGGTTTTTCTTCTCTTTTTGTGAAGACCGGTTTTGCTGACCTCCAAGGAAGTTGCCACAGTTACTGTGGATACAGTTTGATTCCAGGGTTGCAGTGTGATTGGTCTAAGAAAGTTTGCAAAAATACTGGTTTTGGTTCCTTTGGGAGATGGTGGCTAATACTACCATGGGTTACTCTAATAATCCTCTGTTTCTTACAGTCTTTTTCTGACCCTCTGCTGCTGGTCAGAAGCAGTAGACTCATGAGCAGGTATGTTTTTGGGTTGACTCTGCATGGGTGTTCTTACTGTAGGCTTTGCAAATATGTGGCTTTAATGTGAGTACATTGAAGAGATGAGATGTTTTGCTGTGTGTGAACTTGTAGTTTAGAGAGCTGTGTTTGTGGCGGAGCAGAAATCCTCAAGTAGCCAGGCCAATTTGAGTGACTTTTGTCTATTTTTTAAATCTGACAGTAATGGTCTCAGTAATAGACCACTACATGGTCCATAAAATAATGGTCCAAGAAGCCACTGCGCATTTATTATTTCTGAAAATTGAATAATGGACTGTCGTTAGATACTGTAGAGCACTTCAGCAGTGCTGCTTTATTAGACATTCCTATGATCAAAATCCAGACAGGGTAACTTACTGTCAACTGGACATGGTGTTCCTTTCTGGTTCCTCTTCAAGCTTCT